AAGGTGTGGGACTTATTCCTGTTGGATAATTTTAATACGTTTCATTCAGAAATCCAAACAGAATATGAATTGATGAGCCCACTTCATGCTTGGTATCCCTTACTGGACAAGATCAACATAGACAGATTTGACTGGGAAAATCTCAGTAATGCTAAATACAAAATGTTGCTGTATAACTAAAAATTGCTATTTTGTATGGTTAGAGAAATGTGGTTTCTTGCAATACCCTTGCTTTGTATTTGGACTTCCCTGTTGGATTTATTTTCTGTTTGTATAAAACTCTCAATAAAATTTGTTTGTTTAAAATCTTTAAAAAAATAATAATACTTTTTTCAACTTTTTAGATTTTTCTGCACACCTGGAGACTACTCCAAGTGTGCAGGAAGATCTCCCTGCCCTCCAGGTGTCCCCGATTTACGAATTTAGATATCCGCACAGAGGGGGAAACTTGGTATTAGATATATAGATGCCTCTCACAGCACCTCGGTATGATTCTAGTTAGGAGACTACTTCTCAGGCTCTGTGTAGATTGACCGCAACTGACAGCTGCTGGCTGCTGACTTCTAACTGACCATTCAGCCTTCCCTCTCTCCACACACACCTCCTAGCTCCGCCCACACACTCTCAGTCACCAACCAATCACCTCACTCACTCATTTTCCTCTTTCATCCCCCCTTGTTCTTCTGACACTTACCAATCATTTAAAGGAACATACACTTATAACTTGAAATCATTACAGACAGTTTCCTTTCTTTCTTGGCTTTTAGTTCCCTTGCATGATTTGCAGATTGGTGCTTCAGTTTCTCTGTCGGGATGGGTAGTTTGCATCTTCAAGCTCCTCCTCCTCAATGTTAGAATTTTTTTCCTCCAGGCAGAATGTGCTTCCAACAGAAACAACAAGGTGTATGAACCCTAGGACCAGTTCTTGAGTTCTGCTTATTTGTCTTGTCCATGCAATTCATAGGCTGTGTGCATACATTCCCCAGAGGGGAAGTTTACCAGGGTTGGGCTCTTAATTCCCAAAAGCTGTTGCCAAAATGTTCACAGCATCTTCCTCAGCATCATCTAGAAAGCTCTGCAGCATGTGGGAGACAGCCGCAAAAGAATCAGCTCCAGCAAACAGAGAGCGCAACACAAGAAGTATCCTTTCCCATAAATTCATTTCTCCATAACTGCAGATTCTACTCAATAGACGCTTTACAAATTCACTGTCGATTTGGCTGGCTATTCTGGTCTTCTTGATAGCTGAACTCAACACAGAAACAGGTTTGCCAACTTGTCTTGCAAGTCGATGGAGGGAATCTTCATCCAAGCTGAAGGCTGTGCTGAAATCTCTCATTGATGCCTCCAAGAAGGGAATATTGCAAACAACAAAGAGACCTGGGACTGGAATAGTTTCAATAGCAGAAGACAATACTTTCCCGACAAGGGCCTCCATAGAAGCCTTCTTCTTTTTCAGGATTCCTTTCGAGGAATTTGAGAATGCTGTGATTAACGCATATCTCTTGATGTCATCCAGTTCATTTCCCATGACCTCTAGCAGAAACTGGAAATCATACCTACTCCAATAATGACTAGAGACAAGAAAAACTCTTGGATGAAATTCCCCTGCCTCGGCCAAATTATCACAGCAATATTTCCTTATCTTCTCAAGGGTTTTTTCCTCACGGAAGGTTTCCTTCCTTCCTTTCGCCTTCCTTCTTTCAGGCTCTATATCGGCATCTATTTTAGTGCGCACGTAGTAAAATTTCTTATTCATTTTGTGAATTTCTTGGGCCAGCATAACCTCATTCTCGGTGAAGCGGACAGAGGCGACGATGATGAAAAAGTCATACTTTGCAAAATGTACCTTCTGCAGGTATTCCTGTGCTTCAAAGTCACGCGTCCCAACTCCTGGGAGATCCCACAGTGTGACGTTTGGGAATGTGGGATGTGGATATCCCTCTGCCTCCATGGTTGTTTGTATTACCCCAGTCTCAGCTGCACCTTCTTCACAATCTGTCATTCCTCGGAGGGCATTGACAAGTGACGATTTGCCAGCACCCGACACCCCCGTGATGGCGATGTCAAGTTTGGCATTCGTTAGTGAATTCAAGTCCCGAACAGTACGTCTTATCAGTTTAGAGAGATCATTATTCTCTTTCTCCAAAGCTGCCTTCAGCTCTTCCAATGGCTTTCCGATGTCTTCTGTTGAGGGACCTGAACCCATGGTGTTGCTCCTTAGCGGCTGATCGAAGAAAGAAAAGAAAGGATGACGGTTAACTCAGCGCCAAGTAAACGTCTAACAACTCTTTATTTTGTCAGCCTGGATTTAGCTGTGTGTGAGAGAACTGATCCTTCTGGGGTCATTTCCTGCAGGAGCGCACAGGAGCGGAGCTCTGGCAGTAAAGAGCCCAGGGGGCGGGCACATGCAACAAGCCCCACCCCCTGCTCCCAGCAGCCCTCAGTCAGAGGAAGAAGCAGCCAGGTAAGTTGCAGACCCCCCCCCGGCCCAAAACAGTCCAGTGGCACCTTTAAGACCAAGTTTTTTTCAGGTACAAGCTCTCCCTCCTCTGCGAGGACAGATCTGCACGTCCCCCCCCAACAGCTAGCAATCCAAAACAGTCCAGTGGAGCTTAAGCGGTGGGTATTGCCTTCTGACACACCTCCGGTGATGTCAGGGGGTTTGGAGTATGCAAATAAGTTATGCCAATGCATTATGCTAATGAGCTCCTGCACCTCTTTTTCTACGAAATGACCCCTGCGTTTCCTTCATAAGAAGACAACAAAACTCATATTAGGTATCTGTAATGGGGCCACGGTGGCTCAGAGGTTAAGACGCTGAAGCTGCAGACTGGAAGGTCTGTCGTTCGGCAGTTCGAGACTCGGGTGCCACGCGACCGAGTGAGCTGGCCCTAGCTCTTGTCAACATAGCAGTTCGAAAGCAAGAAATTGCAAGTAGATAAATAGGTACTGCTTCGATGGGAAGGTGACAGCTTTCTGTTCACCTCGGCATTTAGTCATGCCGGCCACATGACCACAGAAAAGTCTTCAGACAGCGCTGGCTCTTCGGCTTGGAAAAGGAGATGAGCACTGCAACCCTAGAGTCGGATTCGACTAGCTTTCGAGCAAGGGAAAACTTTACCTTTGCCTAATGGGGAAATATGTGGAGGGGGTTATATATTTCATTTATACTTATGCTTCTCCCCGCTGGGGACCTATAGTGGCCTACATCATTCTCCTCCCCTCTGTTGTATCCTCACAATACCCCAGTGAGAGGGTAAGGCTGAGAGACAGTGAATAGCCCAAGGTCACCCAGCCAGTTTCTATGGCAGAGCAGGATTCGAACCTGGGTCTCCCGGATCTTAGTCTGACATGCTAACAGCTACACCACATTGGCTCTCTTAAAGAACACATCAAAACATATGGTATGGGACTCGTTTAAGGCATTTATAAGGGGATGGTTTATAAATCAAGATGCTTGGATAACCCAGCAAAGGAGGAAAACATATGATCAACTAAGAAATGTAATTAAAATGGAAGAAGATAAAATTAAAAGTCACCCCAAAAATGAAGAAATCAAAACCAAGTTAAAATTATTACAACATAAAATGAATATAATTTTGACACGAGAAATTGCTAAAAATATAGAATATGATAGACTTTACCCCTTTGAAAATGCCAATAAACCGTCTAGATGGCTCTCTTATAGAATTAGAAAGGAAAGAGGGAAAAAAACAATTTTGATTTTAAAAAATGATAAAGGTGAAGAAAAATACAAATTACAAGAATTAAAAGATATTGTCTGTGATGCGTTGTGTGTTGTTAAATCAGTGAAAGAAGTTTAAATTTGGTAGGAAAGTAGGGATTGTACATATTTAAATTTTCTCTCAAACTTCTGTTTGTGGGAGAAAACCAAAACCCAGCTTTATTTTCAACCTCCAGAGCACATCTCTCTTCCACCAGCTTACTTCTTTGATACACAGTGAAAGGCACCTGAGTAGTTAACATTCCCTGCCAAAGGTATGTATAAATAAACAGATCCAGCAGCTGCCGCCGCACTACTGTGAAGCCCGAAAAGACGTTTAAGATCCAGAGAGAATTGCTTACATTGATCACCAAGGGCTGTTTTGAAAAGCTGGAGAATCGGTGGCTACCAGTTCTTTGGTTCAGCGGCCTTTCTTTCCCAGCTACCCGAACTCCCTCTAGAATTTTTTTTCTGAGTTCTTTTATAAGAGGCAGCAGTGAAAATGAAAGCAAGCCAGATATTCAGAATGTTACACCCAGCGACACAGCGGTGTGATTTCCCATAAACTGCCTGAGTTTCTGTCAGCTGTTGTGCTTATCTTCCACAACTGCCTCCTGCTCCCAATGTTATTGCTGTGGATAAAGATTTCAAAGAAGAAACAGGCTTTCAAGGAATGGGGCAATTAAAAGAAACCAGGGTCAAATTCAGTCCACTAAACACCCTTACCCCTGGCGGCTACCAGCCACAGTAATGAAAAGCAGTACTTTGCTTCAGGAAGCTGTTTCTAAACTTGGACACATTCCCTCAGGATGTCAGAAGTCTTTATAGCAGGCCTTACTGCAGTGCCCAAAAAAAACACACCCAAAATGGGGCTGAACTAAGAAACCTGAAGAATGGAGAGATGGGGGAGTGGGGAGATCTAGGGCAGTGACCAGTGTTCCCTCTAAGCTGAGTCAGTGTGAGCTAGCTCCCAGTTTCTTCAGCCACCGGCTCACACATTTTTTGTCTCTGCTCAGGAAGGAGGGCTCCATAACAAACCAATTTCTGCAGTTAGCCCAATCGCTCGCTCACAACTTTAATGCCGGTAGCTCAGAAAGTAGAATTTTTGCTCACAAGACTCCAAAGCTTAGAGGGAACATTGGCAGTGACCCTAAAAGAGAACGTTTTCTGGGGCATATTGTAAATGGGCCACGTGAGGTGCCGAAAAACCTGTGTGCTGAGGGGAAAAAGGGGCAGCTCAGCTGGTAGGCGAAGGTGGAGACAAATCTGAGAGGGAGCAGAAAAAGAATAGAGCGAGTGGGGCGGTGGCATGGGCCTGAATCCCAAGTGGTGAATTGCCACTGGGGAAAAAGCCCCGCGCACACCACTGCCACCACCTCACTGGCAAAAATAACCTTTACAAAGTCTTTTTGGGTGCGGACCTGTGGCCGATGACAGCCCCTCTCCTTCCTGCTAAAAGACTTAAAGGGCCCTCAAGCTGCTCGATGGGCCACGTGCTGAAGCAGCTGAAGCCCTTTAAATCTTTGAGCAGGGAGGGAGGGGGGTGGCTGTGGGTGGTCACGGCTTGGGGGTGGGGCTTGGGGGGCATCCCTGCCCACCCCCAGAATGCCTCCCAAATCCCTCCACTGGATTGATGAGGGTGCAGGCAACCCTAATGGCATTATACCCTACTGAGGTGCCTCCCCTCCCTAAACCCCATCCTCCCAGGCGCCATCTTCAAATGTCCACGTATTTCTGAACCCAGAGTTGGCAACCATATCGATCAGGTACGAATTATTTAGTGTTCCAAAGACCAAAAGAGCATTTGGAATCAAACTGTGTGTGGCGCTCATGTAAATCTTCCTTCATGTCTCTCCTGAAATGCTAGACTTATGCCTTTGGACAGTTCCGCTTGCCAAGAAGTCTTCAGTGGTGCAGAGAGAGTCAGGCTACTGAGAGAAAAGGGAAGTTAATAAAGAATGTGCTAAAAATTGAGTTAGAATGGTAATATATATATCGCCCCCTAAGATTAATGTAGAGATACAGTCCTCCTTCCTGCCAACCTAGCAGTTCGAAAGCAAGAAGCAGGAAATAAACGGACAGAGAAGCAAAGAGACAGAGGAACATAGAAGGGGATTGACATTAACAGGCACTAGCAGTAAAGTATAAAAGAAAAGAACACAAGTTAGAATACAATGGGGGGGAAGAAATAAAAATTATAAAAAACTCTATTTAAGAGACAGAAAAGGGGACAAAGGTTAAACAAAAAGAATAATAGGGGGGGGAAGGAAAATAAAGGTAAAATAAGGAAACATAAGTAACCACAATATAAATTAGTCTTAAAATAAATACTGTTAGCAAAATTGAATGGCTACAGGAAACAGTGGAGCAAGTGGGACCAGGAGAGTATCTATAAAGTCACCAGGGCAGACAACCATACAAAATCAGCTAAAAGCAAGCACAATGAACACAATTCAAGTAAACACAAAAGATCTAAAAGCATTGATACAGGAATGTGTAGCTGCAGAAATGAAAAACTTCGCAGAAGTAACATTACCATCACTAATTAAACCTAATGCGACATGAATGTGTAAGTAGTTCCAGAACTGGGATCATACATATACATTTTTGTACATTCAGACTTGAATATGGACACATATCCTAGGTGTAAATCATGTTTTGGAAGGAAAACCTTCCTCATGTCTTAAAAACAATTTGTATATGGAACCCATGTAGAGCAGGGGTGTCGAACTCATTTGCTATGAGGGCTGGATCTGACATAAATGAGACCTTGTTGGGCTGGGCCACGTGTGTCATAAAATGTAATGCCAGGTAGCGGAGATATAAACTTTATAAAGGACACAAACACAAAGGTTTTTTCTAACTTAAAATACAAACATGCTTAAAATATTAGCTCTATAAGTTGCAAACCTACTTTTGATTTATTGACATTCGCCACAGAAATCTCATGCTCAGAGTTCTGAGTCTAGGACCCAGGGGGAAACATGAAATGGCAAAGTGATTAAGAGAGTCTGGCGAAGCAAGCTATGATGCAGCAGAAGAAGAAGAACTGGAAGCAGGAGATGGCCAGTTCCACTGCGGGCCTGATGGAAGCTCTCCGGGGGCCTGATCCGGGCCCCGGGTTGCATGTTTGACACCCCTGGTGTAGAGTATTCAGATTCTCCAATCTTACACAAAGGCTGACAAACTTGTTGCAGACAGGGTTCTCTCTCTCTCTCTTTTTTTAAGTACCAGTTAGGTACACTTTTATTATTTTTCATATTATACAAAAACAAACATACATACAACACATCACAAACATCCACTTACAAACATAAAACATACAATGAGACCAGTATATTTTCTTATAACTCTATTACCATATTAAAATTTTCTTTGGGTTTGCTTAAGTTTCTGTGTACATCTTTCCCCCCCCATAGTTTCTATTTAACTAAAAGAGATTAACCCTACCAAAAATTTAATTACTTTAACCTGTGCATTTATATTGCAGACAGGGTTCTCATGTGAACCTATTTCCCAACCATTTCCCTGGTCACTCTACCAAGTGGTGGCAAAGAACTGGGCATGCTAGGTGGGAGTTCTCCCACTCCAGAGAAAGCCTGCCCTCCCTATCACAAAACTCACATTACAATGACTCCTCCCAAATTCTGAAAAGCTCAGCAGACCAGGCAAAGGAGCAGCAGGCTTCATGGTGCCCTGCACTTCAGCACGGAAAATGATTTTTGACACATCTCTTACGGGCAAGTCTCTCTATTATGCCATTTCTTCCCATCCCACATGGATCTCTTGGTTTTCTGAATACACCCCGTGCAGCTCATTCTCTCTTCTCGGCAGTACCTTCGATTTCTCTCCAGTCTTCCTTTTCCTTCAGATACGTTCTTGCCTTATTTCTAGGTCATGCAGGCATGCCTCCTATAAAGACTTCTCAAATCCTAAGGCGGCATGTCAGGGGTTCAAAACACATTCCTGATCCAAGATATGGCTTTTGAACATTGCTTTAGCTGGCGGCCGTGGATGAGGGTGTGTTGCGGGCGGGACTGATGCCACTTCCTTTCTACTCTCCATTTTTGTACTGTGAAGCCCTGTGGCATCGGGCACCTGCCATGTATGCAGGGCACCTTGGTTACACATGACAACCTTGAAAGAAAAGTTCAGGGGGTGCTAAGAACGGTTACCAGGGGTTGTTTAGTAGAAAAAGAGCTAGGGGAACTCATTAGCATAACTCATTAGCATATGCCACACCCGGTGGTGGACCTGCAAGGCCGGCGGGAGTGCGAGGAAGCCCCACCAAGGCCCTCCCTCACCCCAGGCAGGCAGGGGTGGGGAGAGGCGGGAAGGAAGCAACTTACCCTCCCTCTTCTCCTGCCTCCTCCTGGCTGAATGAGGGCTGGAAGCGGGGTGGCCGGAATCAGGGGGCGGGGCTTCATCATGTGCCCCGCCCCCGCACCTCACCCGGGGGACCTGCGATCCCCCGCGATCCCCCCCGAAATGACCTCTGACAGTTACTATTTATCAGACATCTGACGCCCTGGCATGATCTGGTCAGCAGCCCTGGCACGACCTGGACAGTAAACCCTTGGGATAACTTTCTGGAAAACAAAATGTACTTTCTCTTTCAATATGAGTGGGACTTCAGGATGCTATCCGGTTCCACAGAATAGATATATAGGGAGTTTCTGTGGGAGCAGGGAAGGAAAGACCCCTGATCCAGCAACTGATCACCACTGAACCTTCAGCTCTTCAGCTTCTGGGGGGAGGGGGGAACACAGGTAAGTTTCACAAGGCCCTGGGCTAGCCACTCTCTCCCAGCCTAACCTTCTCACTAGGGTACTGTGAGGACACAAGAGAGTCTAGTGACTCGGTGGGTGAGTTTGAGGAGGTGAAAGCAGAGGGTGGGGAGGGGGGAGAGCGAAAGCCACTTATCCCTGCGGGCTGCGGTCACAAACAGAAAAGGGCTGGTGCGTATCTGGGAGCACAAAACTCCCTTCTAGGTTTGCCAGCTCTAACTGGGAAAATTGCTGGTGATTTATGGGTAATGCTTGGGGAAGGCAGGGTTCGGGCCAGGGGAGGGTAAGCTCAGTGGGGTTGTGAGGCCATAGAGAGCACCCACTGAAACTGCCATTTCCTCCAGGGGGACTGATACCTGTGGCCGTAGATCAGCTGTGATTTTGGAAGGCTTCCGGGGCTCATCTGGAGGTTGGCAACCCTATCTTACGTCACGCTTGGTCTATATCAAGATCGCTCAAGATGGGTAGCCGTGTTCGTCTGTCTGTAGCAGTAGCAAAGTACACAAATTTGGTCAGTCTTTAAAGGGCTACTGGACTCTTGCTCTTTTCTACTGTGATCTATCAAGTCCTTGTGTTGCTCCCCAGCCGAATCAATCTGCATCTAGCATTCGCTCCGCTGTCTCACCAAACCCACACTGGAACAGAAATTCCCATCTGCATTGCATGCCACTTTCACTTTGATTGACTGCTGGATTTTATGGCAGCGTCGAGACTGCATGTGGCTTTCGCTTCCTTTGATTTCTGGTTTTATGGTGGCCGTCTGCATAGATTTATGGCTGTTTTATGGCCATTCAGGGGTCAACCTTTTTACCTTGTACAATGGGGAAGCTAAAATACAGTGGGGGAGTTTCTCAGTGGCTAACGGGCTGCAAATACATATACTATGTTTTGTTGGAATGTAATTTTATTAACTTTGTTTGATATTGGTGGTGTTGTGTTTTGAGAAGACATTTAATACAGTTGGTGGGAGTCGTTTTCACGTAGATCTAGTTAGAAATACCCAATGCTGACTAAGCTAAAGAGAGCTGAGAGTATAGCGTGGTTAGGTGGCTGCAATGAGGGTGACCCACTTTCGGCTCCCAGTGAGCCATAAACTGGCTGGCTGACCTTGGACAGTCCTTGAGAGGGGAGGGCGGGCTTCAGAAAACTGTGGAGAGGATTAAAGCAAGAATGAAAGAATGAGGTAGCGGCTCCCCAGTGGCTTGGAGCAAAGGAAGAATAAAAATCAACACCAAATTGGACAGTGAATATTGTCAGTCACTGCTGCCACCTACTGGCGAATTAGGGAGGGGCAAAAAACCAGGGTTCCATATTCCGGGAGGGAGAGGGGAATCGGTCTTCCAGTATATTTATGGACTGTCATCTGCGCCCTCCAATGCAGAAAGTTTTATGATAATTGTGTGAGCTTTGGAACTGAAAGACTCCGAACAATATTAAAAAAAGGTGTACTAATTGTTATGTAGGAGCTGCGGTGGCTCAAGTGATTAAGACGCTGAACTGCAGGCCGTGGAAGGTTGGTAGTTCAGCAGTTCGAGACCCGAGTGTGCCGCATGACGGAGTGAGCTCCCAACTCTAGTTCCAGCTCCTGCCAACCTAGCAGTTCGAAAGCAAGACATTCCAAGTAGATAAATAGGTACCGCTTCAGTGGGAAGGTAACAGCGTTCCGAGTAGTGAAGAAAGGGTGGGGTATAAAAATGAACTACTTTTCTCTGCCGCCGTGGGAGCAATCCCTCCAAATCCCCTGCCAGAGCTACGAGGGAATTTGACAACCCTAAACATCCCCCGACACTGTGCAGTGGGCATTCCGGTAATAATGTTGACAGATAACTGTCTGAGTACCCAAAGCCTGAACTCCATCCGTTGAATGCTATCTTCCTTTCCTCTGCGGGAGACAGGCTATTTTTAAGCTTTGAGTGACTTTAACCTCACCCTCTTAGAATGTGATATCAAAATGAGCCTTGTCAGGTGAAATGGAGACAGGCTGGCCCGATCATTGTGTATGATGTGATGCCTTACAGACAATTCATGCATAACAACATCCTCATGGTCACCTGGAGAACTTTGACACACAAAAAACTAGTGTTCCCTGCTGAGAACTTAATTTTCAGGCATGTGTGTGGAGTTGCCAACAGGCCTTGGGAAAAATGTACCGTCCCTTTAAGAGAGGCTTAATGTGTGCAAATGGGCAGATGAAGTTCTTATGGTTTAAAGGTAAAGGTTCCCTTGCTCGAAAGCCAGTCGAGGCCGACTCTAGGGTTGTGGTGCTCATCTCCGTTTCAAAGCCGAAGAGCCAGCGCTGTCCGAAGACATTTCTGTGGTCACGTGGCCAGCATGACTAAACACCAAGGCACACTTCCCACCAAAGTGGCACCTATTTATCTACTTGCAATTTCTTGCTTTCGAACTGCTAGGTTGGCAGGAGCTGGAACGAGAGACGGGAGCTCACTCCATCATGCGGCGCACTCGGGTCTCGAACAGCTGAACTACTGACCTTCCACAGCCTGCAGTTCAGCGTCTTAACCACTTGAGCCACCACAGCTCCTTATGGTTTAGAGGTAAATAAAATCCAATGAAGCCTCTGTTAAAGGGGCAGGCCATTGTTTCTTCAAACAGTTAGCAGCCCTTGGCATGTGGGGGCCTATCCAGATCCAGATCATCCTGCATAGACAGAGGGGCCTTATGCCTTTCCCTCTGCATGGTTTTCCCATCAGGAACTGACTCGACAAGCTTTGATTTTTCCTCTTGGGGAACCTTATGTAGCTCACAATGAAATGGTCCGGTCGTGACAAAAGTGAAGAAGGGAGGAGGGAGTAATGTGATTTTGGATTTGTGAGGGAATGATCACAAATTTATTTATTTATTTATTTATTTATTTAATTTCACTTATACCCCGCCCTCCCCGCATGCGGGCTCAGGGCGGCTTACAACCATAAGGCACAAGGTGCAATAAAATGAGATAAAACAATTTAAAACAGTTAAAACAAAGGAACAAAAGACAGCAATGTGTGTTTTAAAGGTTACCGCATCATTACACTGTTATAAATCCCCAATGCACTAAGTACAGATTTCTCAGTCCATCAGGGGAAGAATGCCCTCAATGGATCAGTTTTCTCACACAACTAAATCTATTTAGTCAAAGGGAAAGTATTGCTTGGATATTATCTGACATTAAATGAACAGCTTCGCTTCTTTAATTTCATTTTCTCATTCAAGCAAACAATCGAGAAGAACCACCATGGGTGTTGCCATCTCAAAAGCAATCATAAAAGAAGAACTTCAAAACCTGAAGGATGATTTGGAAAATAAAAATCTCCAAGATGTGATAGATAAAATCAGTAAGGACTTGGATTTATTAAAGAACACCACCCTTGACATCGCCATCACAGGGGTGTCGGGTGCTGGAAAATCTTCGCTTGTCAACGCCCTGCGAGGAATGACAGACTTTGAAGAAGGTGCAGCCGAAACTGGGGACACGAAAACAACAACGAAGCAGCAGAAATATCCACATCCCACCTCCCCCAAAGTAACACTATGGGATCTTCCAGGAATTGGGACTCCCCAGTTTGAACCAAAGCAATACTTGAAGAAGGTACATTTTGTGGAGTATGATTTCTTCATCATCGTTGCCTCAAATCACTTCACTACGAATGATGTTCTCCTGGCTCGTGAAATTCAGAAGATGAGCAAGAAGTTCTACTATGTGCGCACCAAAGTGGATGTCAGTATAGATTCTGAAAGAAGGAAACCAGACTTCTCTGAGGAGAAATGCCTGGAGAAGATTAGGACATACTGCAGAGATAACCTGTCACAGGCAAGAGGAGAATCTGTTTCGATGGTTTTTCTCATCTCCAGGTGGGATTTGCAAATGTATGACTTCCCCCTCCTTCAAGAGACCTTGGAGAATGACTTCAATGATCTCAAGAGAGATGTTTTAATTACAGCTATGCCAGCTTTTTCCAAAGAAGTCCTGAAGAAGAAGAAGGCTGCTATGGAGTCCTTCATATGGAAAGTAGCCCTGGTGTCTTGTGGCATAGGGGCAATTCCTGGCCCTGGCCCTGGCCTCTCTCTCATCTGTGATATTGTCATCTTGGCTGAAACAATGAGACATTTTTGCAAAGTCTTCGGCTTGGATGCAGATCCCCTCTATAGACTTGCAAACCGGGTTGGCAAACCCGTTCCTGTGTCAAACATCCGCTTCAAAGTGCTGGTTCTTACCTATAAAACCCTATATGGCCAGGGTCCAGCTTACCTGAGGGACCGCCTGTCCCCATATGTTCCCCCTAGAGCACTACGGTCGGGGGCACAACACCTGTTGGTTATCCCAGCCCCAAAGGTTGTTAAATATGCTGCTGCCAGGGCTTTTTCGGCGGCAGCTCCTATCTGGTGGAATGAACTCCCGGAAGAGATCAGGGCCCTGCGGGACCTAGCACAGTTCCGCAGGGCCTGTAAGACTGAGCTCTTCCACCAGGCTTCTGAATAGGAGCCGCCGCCGCCACTGTACCACCACTGTGTTGTCATCTTTGTTGGTGAAATCTTTTTACAAGGTGCGCCGGCCCTGGGATGGAAGAACTGACAAAGTGGAGTACTAACCAGAAGAGACGTCAGC